AACATTACCTTTAAATTGCTTATTAACAATCCAATGTAACTTCATTAATTATCAAGAAATATCCTAAAAACTGAAGACACTTCATTTGATACAATTACAAATTTAACATTGAATTACGTAAAAATCGTACAAATCACAGTAAAACAAATAAATTTATTGCATTCCATATTAAAACTACTGCAATTTATTATTTTTTTCAAATACAATCTATAACAGTTTAAAAAGAAAACGTAAAATTAAAAAAAAATAGTAATTTTTATTATAAATAATTTCAATTTCTATCTATGAATTACACAAAAACCGTAAGTGTCTCAATGAAGCAGATTCTCTTATTTCATTCTTTGAAACATTACCTTTAAACTGCTTATTAACAATCCAATGTAACTTCATTAATTATCAAGAAATAACCTAAAAACTGAAGACATTTCATTTGAAACAATTACAAATTTAACATTGAATTACGCAAAAATCGTACAAATCATAGTAAAACAAATAAGTTTATTGCAATCCATATTAAAACCACTGCAATTTATTATTTTTTTTCAAATACAATCTATAACAGTTTAAAAAGAAAACGTAAAATTAAAAAAAAAATAGTAATTTTTATTATAAATATCTTCAATTTCTATCTATGAATTACACAAAAACCATTAATGTTCCAATAAAACTGATACTTTTATTTCATTCCCTAAAACATTACCTTTAAATTGATTATTAACAATCCAATTTGTCTTTATTAGTAATCAAAATATAACCTAAAAACTGAAGACACAAATTTAACAATGAATTTGTGAGGAAATGTGTAATAAAAAAGAAAAACAAAGTCCAAAAACCAAGGCAACTATGAAATAAATTAAAATTACGATGCGAACGCATCAATTGAAAGTCAATTGTTTGTGTCGAGCCTGCCGTGCGTTTGTTTTCGCTCCGCTTTTGCGTTTTGTCCAACGATCCTCGTGCTTTATGTCCTAGCAATTTCTCGCTCGATTTGCCCACATTTGACCCAGTCGAATCAATAATTCTAATAAAATAACATATACATCCTATACAGATATAGACAGACGCATGAAACAAAACCCCGATTACGCGCAATAAACAATAATATGGTACGTTGCGTCCCAAATATATATTCTACATTTGCATCGTAAATCAAACTGGACTTTATATTACACGCACATAAACATATATAGATATATACACACATAGACACAATGGACCAAATACAATTGCGTAACAACATGCAGTCAGACTTGATTAATAAAACACGTTTTTTTTTTTGTTTTAATTGAAAGTATGTTATGGATGCAATTACGTGCGTAAAGCGTTCGTTAACTTTGACGTCGACGTTAAATTTGCTTACATTAGCATTTTGCGTACGCTATGTAGAGCGAATCGATGTCCGTATTGAAGCCTTAATGGATATTAGGAGTTTAGACGGTGGCTCCATCTGACGACGTTACAGATGAACACGAGTTACGAGCGTAGAAACTAATGAATGAGAGAGATATAGAGAGAGAGACAAACGTAAGATGAGTGTATGTGAAGTGAAGAAAAATAGATGCGCTACGCGAGATATTTGTAAATTGGTGCCCTAAAGTTTAATGATAGCCTCTGAGGAGGGTTGGAGGGTTTTCTGAAACCGTAAGTTCCTCAGAATATTAATGAGAGCTTCGCTATGCGCTCACTAGTAAACTACCCTTCGCTTAAAGTTCCATCGCGAAACTGCCGCTCGTCGCTTGTTTTTTTGTGTTTTGTTTTTTTCTTTTGTTTTTCCTCGTAAGCGACCATCCCTAAACCGACTTAAAAACTCTGCTTGAGCACTTCAGCATATAAGTGTGTATCTCTCAAACTTATTATTATCATTTCCACTTTGCTATAATAGTTCAGTAAACAATACGTATTATCATATACATTTTGCAATGTCTCGAATAGTACGCTTAACCGGACTAATCGAGGAACTAAATACATACAAAATGAATCTAATTTCCAAATAAGATTTAATGTATACTGATTAAATTTCAGTAAAATTTCTGAATTGTTCGAAAACCGAATATTTTTGTATTAGTCAAATATAATCAATTTATCCATGAAATATTATAAAATGAACAATTGATAAATTATTGAAGAAACTTTCTTATTTGGTCACGAAAACCGATTTTAGGTAATTCGAAATTCTTTTTGTAACTTTGTTTAACAAAATAGTAAATTGAAATTGATAAATTTCAACTAATTCTGCTTATATTCAATGAAATAATTTAATTATACGTTTCGTTTTCCATTTCTAAAGTATTGGAAAAGTAAAGAAAAATTATCAAAAAAATAAACGAAAAATCTAAAATAATGTAATTCAATGAAATAATTTAATTATACGTTTCGTTTTCC